AATTTTAACTGCCTCCCTAACATTAATTTGAAAAGGCTTTCGATAAGATTGACCATATAATTGTTAACAAATTAAGTCAGCTCGGTTTTTCAAAATCAATGCAAATGTTCTTTCTTTCCTATTTATCACTAAGAAAACAGTATGCAACCTATAATGGATTCTCATCAAAACTATTTTTCGCTACGTCAGGGGTGCCTCAAGGTTCTAATTTAGGACCCTTACTTTTTTTTATTCTTTATCAACGATATTAAAGATTTCATTTCTTGTCCAAAACTCTTGTTTGCAGATGATCTAAAGCTCTTTTTTAAAATTTGTGACATATGTGACTCTCTATTTCTTCGGGAGCAGTTAGATCAGTTACTAGTTTGGTGTAGGCGCAATAATTTATTCCTTAACATTAAAAAATGTAAAGCTATAACTTATACTAGAAAAGTGAACCCAAGAAACTTTAATTAATAATAGTTGAAATGTATCCTGCCTTATTATTATTTTTTGTATCTTTTTGTGTATTATTAATTTTAAAATATTTATATTTGTTTCGTGTCTAAGATTATTTTTTATCTATTAGATTTATTATTTATTCTTTGCATGAAATGATATTGTGTTATGTATTTCTTTGTCCTATAATTGGATTTATTCTGTTGGACAATAAAGTTTATTATTATTATTATTAAGGAAGAATTAATTTTTTTATAACATTTTTTCGTAAGGGTGATCACACTGCTAATTAACTTTTTTTTAATCTGTCACTTTTTAATATTTCTGTCATTAAAATAAAAACTAAACAATTTTTACCCAAAAATACATAATAAAAAAATCAGTTTCGATGAGTTCTTGGTATTTAAAAATATGCCCGTCAAATTAAAATTTGAGGTGTTTTAATTAAATTTACCTTATTCCTTTTAGACAATAAATATTACCTAAATAGTTACCTAAGCCTCGCGGATCTTCTTTTCTTTTTTCTTCTTCAAAAACGATGGCGTTCTGAGACCTTTCTTCTTCTTTTTGTCTTTTTTCGGTGATTCTTCCGATATCGAGTGGTCCTAGGACAAAACATGAACGTTTGAAACAATTTTATATGTAAATAATAGCTTTGAATGGCCAAATTATTATTAAAGAACATAGTCATTAACTTAATAGGGATAAAACCTATTAATTAAAAATGAAATTCATAGATAATTTTCTCAACACTAAAAAGAAAATCCGCAAAATTCGAGTGGAAATCGAACCCTCGACCTTTGGTATACCTTATCCACATCCCCACCCAGATGAAATAACAAGACAAAATTAAACGGAGTAAGAAAAACAGAAAGAAAAAGCAGATAGTCGCAGCTGTTCAGGCAAAAAATGAAATATAGAATTAGGAAAATCTGTCACGTGACCTGGAAGTATGTTTACGACTTTTGACCTAAAAAGGGCAGTAACTATTGAATAATTAAACTGATGAATACTTTTCTAAACAGCAAAAATAAAAACCGCAAAAATCAGATTGAAATCGAACCCTCTTGCTTTGGTATACCATACCAACATCTTGACTTTTAGGCGCGTATATATCCTGCCATTATGGCAAAATTGACAAAAATTATTATTGTGAAATATTAAAGTATATGACTGTATAATAAATAAATTAAAATTGTTTAAAGTAAATTTGTTTAAGAATAAAAATAATTCACTTTGATATAACAAAATACATGATGATAAAATAAATATTAAAATTTAAAATGTTTTCATGACAGTATTATACTCGCTAGCTATGATGATCATATTGCATTTCCGTTATCACCAACTCAGCCACTGCGTTATGCAGGACTTTATTTTATAATAGTTGGCGTTTATAATTAATTATTGCTTCTATTATATCAATTTTTACTTACTTCTTTACTACTTTGGGAAAGTGTGCTCATATGGGCGTCTGATTGATCTCCATTAACTGTATTTTCACCTAGAAAAACAAATGATTTTTTAATTAAAATTATCTAGTTGACAGATTAAACACTATTGTATGCTATTATTGTAAAAAAAAAAATAAATAAAAAAGGTGAAGAGACAGTTTCCACCATTTCTTTTCTATACAAGGATTTAAAACTGTCTCTCAAAGGGTACCTTTGTGATGGGCATTTCATCTTGATTATCTCGGTAACTTGACAATCAGGAATAATTTTGGGTACAGCAGCATCCAACATGCTATATATAAAACACTGCTTGATTGGGTAAAAATAATTTTGAAACAAAACAATAACTTTTGGTGTTTTTAAGTGCTAATAAAAGGTTAACAAAAAAAATATAGTTCTATCAACGCTGAGTTTAGTTTCTAAACTATTGGAAGCGCCATGTTATCAAAATACAAAATTTTGTGCATATTTATACAAGGTAGGCAACCGATAATGCATCGGTCTGTAGAGCAAAACTATCTGTTATCTTTTAAATCTGCTTTCGCAGCGAGATGTATATCAGAAAAGCAAACAATTTAAGTTTTTCTTTTTTTATTGACCCACTATCCAAAAGTTTCCTAATTATACTTTCATTTGAGTCAGCGTTCCATTTTTTTATTATTACTATATTCCAATACAATTAATATTGTCTTATGAAAATGTAAATATAAATAAATAAATAAATAAATACATACCTAAAGTTAATAATTTTGAACGATTTTTAAATTTAAATGATAAAAAAGATAATTCACAAAATATTAAAATACAAGCTGGTTAATATAAAAAAAATATGAGATGTTAAGTGATTTTTTTTTTTATTTTAATAATTAATTTCTGACTATCTATTAATTTTAAATATCTTATTAGGAAAATCAAATGACCTAGAAAATGTTAAATTAAAATGACAAAATAAATATATCATTATTATTATATTATGATGATATTATATTATGATATTTTTATTTAAAGGGGTGCTGGGGAGAGATACAAATTTGACTGTTATAGCTATGTGTTCCGGTGGTACAATTAATAAAGGCGCAGAGGGCTATACTCGGAATATCAAAGTTCGATCCTTGGCCAGTGAATTCATTTCTTCTTATCTTTATTTCTGAGTTTTCTTTTTAATTTTCTTTGGTTTTGTTTCACTTTGGGGATTATATCTTCACATTTTCAAAAAATTGCACAATTATTTACTACTTATCCTTATATATTATTGTGAAATAGTGAATGCATGAAATATTTACAATATTTTATCCAAAACATATTTTAGGGATAATAAAAATAAAATTTTTACAATATTTTGATTTGTTTTTTTGTTGCTTATTCTTGGGAGTGATATTTGTGCATATTTTCAAGTTTTCATTTTTAGTTTGAGGGATATACAATGTCTACAAAGAAAAAAAATGCCAATTATTACTAAAGGAAGCGATTTATAGAATCATAGATAAGCAGGATCTAATACAAAAAAAAAACAAGCATAGCTGAGAAAATAATAAAATTATATAAAAAAATATTCGGATTTTAAAAATGTATAATACGTTGGTTTGCGTCCATCGTTATTTAACAATGGTTTTTGAAAAAAAAAAAAAATCATTTTTCCTAGGTCCAAGTCAGTTAAACCGATTTTTCCGAATTCTAAGTCAAAATAATCTACTTTTTCGAGTTCTATATCAGAAAAATCGATTTTTCTAAGATCTGAGCTGGAATAATCTATTTTTCCAAGTTTTAAGTCACAAAAATCAATTCATTAAAGTTCAGAAGTCAAAATAATCAATTTTTTCGAATTCTTGGTCGGATAAATCGATTTTTCTGACTTCTAAGTCAGTTAAATCGATTTTACCGAATTCTAAGTTAAAATAGTGTATTTTACGAGTTCAAAATCAGATAAATCATTTTTTTTCGAGTTCTGAAGTCGAAGTAATATTTTTTTTCGAATTCTAAGTTGGATAAATCGATTTTTACGAGTTCTAAATCCATATAATCTATTTTTTCCAAATCCTAAGTTGGATAAATCGATTTTTCAGAGTTCTAAGTCCGAATAATCTATTCTTCCGATATTAAAGTCGGATACATCGATTTTTCCGAATACTAAAAACGGAATAATCAATTTTTCCGAGTTTTAAGTCAGAAAAATGCTTTATTTCGAATTCTAAATCGGACAAATCTATTTTTCCGAGCTCAAGTCGGAAAAATCAATTTTTTCGAGTTCTAAATTTGAAAAATCGATTTTAAGTTGGAATAACCTATTTTTCAGTTTTTTTAGACAGATAAATCGATTTTTGCGAGCTCTAAATGGATATAATCTATTTTTTCAAATTCTAAGTTGAATAAATCAGTTTTTTCCGAGTTCTAAGTCGGAATAATCGATTTTTCCGAGTTTTAAGTCGAATAAATCGATTTTTCAGAGTTCAAAGTCGGATAAATCTAATTTTTTCGTGTTCTAAGTCGGATAAATTGATTTTTCTCCGAGTCCTAAGTCGAAATAATCTATTTTTCCGATTTCAAAGTCAAATAAATCGATTTTTCCGAATACTAAAAACGGAATAATCAATTTTTCCGAGTTATAAATCAGAAAAATGCTTTTTTATTTCGAATTCTAAATCGGACAACTCTATTTTTTCCGACTTCTGAATCGGAATAATCTATTTTTCCGAGTTCCAAGTTGGATAATTGGATAAATAGATTTTCTCGAGTTCTCAAGTCGGAAAAATCTTTTTTTTTAGTTGTAAATTAGAAAAATCGATTTTTTTCGAATTTTAAGCTAGAATATCTATTTTTCAAGAGTTTTAAGTTGGAGTAACCTATTTTTCAGAGTTTTAAATCGGATAAAACAATATTTAACTCTTATAACCAATTTAAGAAGAGTGGACGTTTAGATTTTAATTTAGAAAGAAAACAAATGCCAATTGTTACCTAAAGCGACTTATAGAAATAATAATAGATACGCAGAATCTAATAGAAGAAAAAACAATAAGCAAAATCTAATAGAAGAAAAAACAATAAGCAAAATCTAATAGAAAAAAAAAACAATAAGCATAATTAAGCAAATTTTATAAAAAATAATCAGCATCGAATAAATGTTTTATTGAAACATTTACAAAAAATTTTCAACAAATAAATTCTTTAAATGCGAGATGGCACTGAAATATAAAATTAAATAAAAATAAAAAAAAAAACAATATCAAAACTTGGCTTCTTCGTAGCCCAACCAATTACCAGAATTATTCAACGACTCGTTTTCCTTATTTTCGCTACACGTTGTAAACAAAGCGACTTTCTTATTTTTAAACGCATTAGAACTCGCGTTTGGATTCCGGCAAAAGCAAACTTTGTTATTAACGATGACATTATGTTTATGATAACAGTTATCATTGCTTCTATCTGTCAAAGTATTAATCATATTTTCATCATTTTCAAAACTTACAACCGTTTTTAATTCGTCATCTTCTAGATCGCTATTACATAGATTATAACTAGGCCCTTCCGGAATAGGACACAACGCGTTATCTTTAAAACGTGTTAAACTTTCGTTAACATCAAATAATCTTTTTTCCGATTCGACATTCCATTTAAGACAGCTCGATACTGCGATACCACACAATTCAGATTCAGATTTATTACGCGATTCTTCGGGAATAGGAGACAAAGCGTTTTCTCTAAATAACCGCGTAGATTTATTCGATGAACTATCGTCAACATCGAACGAAATTTTTTCCGATTCAATATTCCTTTTAGGAGTTTTTGGAGAGCTGGATACCGATATCCAATATAATTCAGATCCAGATTTGTTTAAAGTTTTTTGATGGAAAGTGGTAATTTCGAAAGTATCGTTGTCTGCTTTGAGACGGGTTTTTTTTTCGGATTCGGGGGTAGAATGAAATAATTTGTTTCTATTCTCGATTAAATCGAAGAATTTATCTAAAATATCGTTTAATAATTCCGAAATTGTGAAAATTTTATCGGATATAGTGTTTGATTCTGTTGAATCACCCGAACCGTTTATTTTCTCATCGGTTTCTAATTTTTTCAATACAGCAGAAGCTATCGATACTCTAAGTTCGTTTTTTTGTTCGGCGTTAACATTTTCGTCAAAATATTCGTTATACAACTGTTTTAATTTATTTAAAAGTTTGTTCAAATTGGGGTCATGTAAAATTTCCGGACACAGAATTATTTCTTTAACCTCCAAACATTGCTGTACCAAATACTCCAAAATTAAATCAGCGAGATGGTTTACAGCATCGCTTGCTGTATCATCAACATCTATTACAGTTTCGTTGATTAATGTGCAATCTTCGATACCTTCATCGGAACTTTTGGTCATATCGTTATTGGGAATTCGTTGTAAAATACTTTTAGCTTCGTTGAGTACTCCATCAGCGACATCGAAATGCGCGTCGGTAATTTTCCGCAATTCCCCAACGAATCGTTCAGCATTTTTAACCAACACATTCGCGTTATCGATGACCTCGCTATCAGATTCGATAGAACTATTTTCGGTGCTTGGCAACATCGCTAAAATATCCGGAGTAAGTACCGAAATGCTTTCATTCCTTTCCTGATCGTTCTCATCAAACTGAACGATCTGATTAACATCCGAATTTAGATTCCTAACATCGGATTCCGAATCGGTGTCCGAGTATTGAGAAGCTTCATCGAATATGTTTTGTTTCAGCTGATCGAGAATTTGTTTTTCGAACGAGTCTAAGTTAGTTTTGCACCGTTTTATGAATAAAGGTGTATAGTCGACTGTGTTCATGTAACTCGTTTGGCATTCTTTGTTATTAATCGGAACTGTGGTCAGTTTTAGAGCAGTCGCGAATGGAACTATGAAACTTTTTATTGTATTAATAGATATGTCGACTGATATTGTATTCGAATTCTGGATGTTTATTCTCAGGGGAGTATTGTAAGTGAAATAACTGGACGATGAAGGTTGAATGAACGTTGTCGAATGACTAATGGCGATTTGATTATCTCTTACGATATGAAAATGATAGGGTTTCGGATCCAGATAGGATCCTTTCGGATGACCTGCATGACTATTTGTTCTATATGGCTGTTGGTTTCTTAACTTACCACCTGAAATAAATATTTTTCGATAATTTTTAAATAAATTTAGGAAAAATTATCGACCACGGTTCTATAAGTTTTTAATTTTCGCAAAAACACGCATGCAGTGATTTTTTATTTAAAATACGCGAATTGGTCGATTTATTTTTTATACAACTTTAATAGTTAAAATCCACAAATCAGGTAATGAAATATTTGTAATATAATAAATAAGAAACAAAGAAATCTAAGGGAGTTACCATATGAATCATTTTTAATTTTTGTATTTTTAGTGGGACGTCTCCAATTTTGCAAAAAGGAAAACGTTGAGAATAGGATGTGGATTGAAAGAAAATGATTTATCTAGGGAGACATTAAAAATTAAAACAAATTTGGATGCCAAAAATGATGTTGAGAAAAATCTGAAAAAAATCACCAATATTAAAAATACAGTATAGATTGATCGAAAATTATTTATTTTGAGGAAACAGTTTTGGGGAGGGGGTAAATTAAAAATAAGAAAAAAATCGGAAACTATCAAATGAAAGCCCTTTGAAGCACGAATTAAAAAAGGTTTAATACGTTCATTTGCGTTATTTTTTCTTCACCACTTTTACGAAAAAACGTTTATAAATACTGCTGTCTCCCCAAATTTATATATGAAATATTCTTTAAAAAAATCTGAAAAAATCACGAATGTTAAGAATAATGTGTAGGTTGAATAAAAATTATTTATTCAGTGACGTTATTCAGAAATTTGTCCATTAACAAATTGAAATATTTGAGATAATTTAATTTTTATTAAAAAAAAGTAGGTAAATATTTTTTCTATAAAAAGATAAGTTTTATTTATTTACAATAATTTACGGAAAACTAAATTTAAAAACAGTTGAATAAACATTATTATTATTGCAGAAAAACCCAATTTCTGATCCCAATTTTCAAAATTTTAGATGGCACTTAAAAAATCAATGCCAGCGTGTTCGACCTACTGACGGGAGTAAAAAAATTATAAAGAAAATATTAAAAAGTTTGATTTAAAAAACTTACCATCACTTAATACAACTTCTGGTTGACTAGCTCTAGGTACTGTCTTTGTTTCTATCCTTAAAATTTGTGGTTCTAAAAAGATTAAAATTGTCGATAAGAATAATAAACAGGGTGTCAAAAAGTATGAATCATATAAAAAACTTTTTTATTAATGATTAAAAGAAAAAAATTCTAGATAAAAGTCGTGCTTCACTTAGAACATCAAAGAAAACGTTTGAAAAATATTGATTCGTATGAAAGCTTAGAAGGGCCGCAAAATATTTATTTTTCCGACTTACACCTCGTAATAATCGATTTTTCCGAGTTTTAAGTTGGATAAATCGATTTTGTCGAGTCCGAAGTCTTGCAAATCTATTTTTCCGAGTTCTCAGTCGAATAATTCGATTTTTCCGAGCTCTAAATCGAAATAATAGATTCTTTCGATTTGTGAAGTAGAAATAATCTATTTTTTCAAGTTCTAAGTTGGAATAATTCACTATTCCTAGTTCTCAGTCGTAGAAATCGATTTTTCCGAGTTCTAAATCGAAATAATACGACTTTTCTGAGGTTAAAGTAAAAAACATCCATTTTCCGAGTTCTGAAGTCGAAATAATCTATTTGTTCCAAGTTTTAAGTCTGATAAATGGATTTCTTCAAGGTCTACGTCGGAATAATCTATTTTTCCAAGTTCTAAATCGAATTAATAGATTTTTCCAAGTTTAAAGTAAAAAACATCGATTTTTCTAAGTTTTGAAGTTGGATTAATTTATTTTTCCGAGGTCTAAGACGGAATATTATTTTTTTCTGAATTCTAAGTCGGAATAATCTATTTTGCCGAGTTCTAATTCGAATAAATCGATTTTTCCGAGTTCTAAATCGAAATAATAGATTTTTCCGAATTTAAAATAAAAAAAATTGATATTTACTAGTTCTGAAGTCGGAATAATCTATTTTTCAGAGTCCTAAGTCGGAATAAACTATTTTTCGGAGTTCTATGTCGGAATAATCGATTTTTCCGAGTTCTGAAGTCGGAATAATCGATTTTTTCCGAGTTCTGAAGTCGGAATAATCTATTTTTCCGAGTTTTAAGTCGGATAAATTGATTTTTTCATGTTGTAAGTTGAAATAATCTATTTTTTCAGAGTTCTAAATCGAAATATTTTTTTGAGTTTTAAGCAAAAAATCGATTTTTCCGAGTTCTGCAGATGCAATAATTTATTTTTCCAAGTTCTAAATAAGAAAAAGCATTTTCCGAGTTATAAAATCGGGTAAATCAATTTTCCCAGTTCTAAAGTCGGAAAAATTTATTTTTCCGAGTTCTAAGTCGGATAAATTCATTTTTCAGTTGTCGAAAAAAAAAATATATATTTTGTGGCCCATCTACGCTTCCGTAGTTTCGAGATAGGAGGCTGTGGTTTCTTATTTGCAAATAAATATGTCTTTAAAATATTTACTACAATTTTTTAAATGTGGATATTTTACTTATGAAAAACCTTTTTCATATTTTTTACTTCTCTCGTAGATGGTAATTTATTTTTAAGCAAAGCAACAACTGTTATCAAGAATAATTTTTCATTTTTTTTTAAATATCAATAATAAAACTACAAATTAATTATACTTATTAGTTCAAACAGCTTACCGTCATGGCTTTCTTCTTCTGTTTCACTAGTAATAGAAGTTGGTGACCTAATGTGCATGTCTTCAATGCGTTTGTTTAAAGCTGCAGATGAAAGACCTTCTGATTCACTGTAGTCTGTGTCGTCTAAAAAAACCAACAAATGTTTGAAGTTTTTCCAACAACGGGTAGTATGCATAAGGTCTCTTCATGTCGCTTATTTGCTACAAGAACGTCATAATGCAAAAATGTTTTAACAGCAGAGTAATAAAATGTAATATGACCTAATCGAGTAATGTATTATAGCAAAAGTATAGTCACAACACGAAATAAAACCTGTTCCAGATATTTGAGAGACTCTTCCATCACAACAGTTACTCAGCAACTAAAATATGACGATATTGAAATTATAGCATTGAGATGAGAAGAAAACCTTAGTCGACATCTAACGTCAATTATAGAAAGTTCAGATATGACACACTTTATCAAACAATAAGGCATTTATTTACGATCTTTAATCTGTCAATAACGTATGATATTCTTGCAGCAAATCAGCGATATATCTCTGTTTACAACGTACATTCTCCTTTGGTCTTCTTTTCCACAACCTTCTTGTACTCGTTGAGCTCTTCGTCAGTGATGCTGTCGAACGGATTCTTCGCGTACGGCGATTTGTAAACCATGGCGTTGTGTTGATGGCCCCTTTGAATGATACCTTTCGAAGCTGCACCCATTAGAACTACGTGGTCTCCGGTTTGCGTTACTGTCGCGTCCTGCATTTTTTTCGCTTCCTCCCACGTCACGCCTTCCAATATATGCGATTGTGGTCCCGCCGATATTTTGTCCGCCCGTCTGTAATCTTTTATCTTCGGAGAATACAAAATTACATTTATTTAATGAAGTTGCCATGTTAACTTCATTTTCAATTATTTTATAAACATCAAAAAGTCGTTTTTGAAATTTAGTTATAAACGTCAAAATATCGTTTATAAAATTCTAGGAATGTCAAAATATCGTTCTTAGTATTTTTAAACGCCAGAAAAATTTGTTTATTTTTTAAATACACTAATGTTTTAAAAATTTATGAAAGTCGAAACGTTATTTTTTATATTTTATAAACGTCAGATTTTTTTTAAAAACGCCAAAACATCGTTTTATTATCTTATGGACGTCAAACGTTATTCAGTATTTTACAAAAAAAAAAAAAATAATAATAAAGATTCCGCACACAAACTTTGTTAAGGTGTCTTCAATATAAAAAAAAAATGTAAACAAAATGAATGAATAAATTTATTTAAATTGTATAGAAACATTTCTCCTAGTCATGCAATTTTAAATTTACCACCCTGCCCATAAACGTCAATACATCGTTTTTAGTATTTTATAAACGTCAGAATTTTTTACATTTTTATTAACACCAAAACGTAAAATTTTATGAACGTCAAACGTCGTTTTTTAGTATTTTACAAAAAAATAAATTATAGTATATTTCTCACAACAACTTTGTTTAGGCGGGTATTAAATAGTGTTTAATGGAATAAATTTGGTTTGATTTGAATATAAATGTATCTTAAATCAATTGTGGAATTTTAAATTGACAACCAACATAATTTGTTACTGTTAAAAACTATTTTTATTATTTGCAAAACGGATAATAAAAACATTGCACTTACCTGTTGCTGTCTTTGTTTAAATTCTTTCGGATTTGTTCCTTTGGGTACAAACTGTAAAGCTGCATCTATTTTTACTGGTGTACCAGTCGAATGATTAGGAGATCCATCTGCTACCCACTGAAAGACAAAACCAGCACATTAATATTTGTTAATGGTGTTAAAATTTAACGATTCCAATGTGGTGTGCCAAAATGTCAAGCATTGTCAAAATATCAAATTTTATGGAAGCTAAAATGTGCTGGTTTTGTCAAGAAAATAACTACATGGAACATGCTCTTGGAATGCAAAGACAACAAAGCTTTTTTCTCGATTTTATCGTCTCTTCCGACAAATGGGCAAGTAAATGGTACACACAATCAAATTTTCATTCTGAAACCTCTTTTCAAACTAATTCTTAGTTGACGGTTTACAATTTACTTGCCCATATAACCCCAGCATACTTTTAAAAGCATTATCCATATCACTGTATTTGACAAACACCATATCTTGGCACACTGCAGAATATTTTGTTAGTTAAGACTATGAGAATATTTTTCATATTAAGAAAACTACCTATACTTAAAATTAAAACCTTTGATATTTGGGTTATTTTGGGAAAAATCATTTTATAAGGACAATGAACACAGCATTCTAATAAAAGTATTTATTTTGACAATATTGCATCAGGCAATAACAAATCGAATCGCTAAAAGCTATAATTCTAAATTAATATAATAGATAAAATGTTACAAACAAAAATATTTGAAAATATATATATTTCTCTTAAAAGTAATAAAATGGCAACAGCAGACTTAATTTTCATAAAAGAAAGAAGCTTTATATTATCTGTGAACTATCTAAAATATGACTACACCTTCATTATTAACGTCACCAGTCTTTATTTTATTCAAGTATGACTTTATATAAATAAATCTAACCATAAATAATTGTTTCTTGCGATAAATAAATCATATAAAATATCAACAAATTTTGTAAATTACCAGTAACCTGTTTATAACATGTAGACAAAGAAATCAAATGGAATGTAGTGAAAAGATGTTACTAGGCTCATCAAAAACAAATAAAGAAGATCTACACATGATCAGTGTGGACTTAATGGTCAGTTGCAACTGTTCAGTTTTATCTCTAATCGTTGTTAATGAAAAACAGTTTTACTATTTTATGACAAAAAAAATCTTATTTTTTTTTTACAAAAAACGTCAATACATTGTTTTTAATATTTTATAAAAACTTCGTCGTTTTTAGAATTCTATGAACGACAAAACATCGTTTTTAGTATTTTTTAAACGTCAGAAAAATTCCTGTTTTCATATGAACGTACAAAACGTTTTTAGAATTCTAGGAATGTCAAAACATCGTTTTAGTGTTTTATAATCAAAAACTATTTTTTTTATAACCGTCAATACATCGTTTTCAGTATTTCATAAACGTCAAAAAAATCTTACAAAACATTCAAAATATTAGGAAAAGATCGTTTTACTATTTTTTTTTAATAAAAATGTCAATATGTCGTTTTTAAATATTTTATAAAAATATTAGAAAATTTATTTTTTGTAAACGAAACATGTTTTTAAAATTTCATGAAACTGATCGTTTTAGTAATTTTTAAACGCCAGAAAAATGCTTTGGGTTTTAAACGCCGAACAATGAAGTCTAGTTCTTGAGTTATTTATGAAGTTCAAACAAGAAAAATCTTATTTTTTTTTTGTAAAAACGTTAAAACATATTTTTGATTTTTATAATAAATATATTTTTTTATATCCATCAATACATCGTTTTTAGTATTTTATGAACAGTACATTTTTTTGTAAACTTCAAAAAAATCATTTTTTAAAGTTTGTTGTAAACGGCAAAATGTCGTTTTTAGAATTCTATGAATGTCAAAACATCGTTTATAGTATTTATTAAACGTCAGAAAAATTCCTGTTTTTTTTATATAACCGTACAAAACGTTGTTTTTAGAATTCTAGGAATGTCAAACATCGTTTTAGTGTTTTATAATCAAAAAAAGTATATTTTTTTTATATCCTTCAATACATCGTTTTTAGTATTTTATGAACGGTATATTTTTTTAATTTGTAAATTTCACAAATCGTTTATAGAATTTTATGAACCTCGTCGTTTTTAGTAATTTATAAACGTCAAAATGTCGTTTTTAGAATTCTATGATCGTCAAAACATCGTTTTTAGTATTTATTAAACGTCAGAAAAATTCCTGTTTTCATATGGTACAAAACGTTGTTTTTAGAATTCTAGAAATGTCAAAATATCGTTAGTTTTATATTCAAAAAACTATTTTTTTTTTATAACCGTCAATACATTGTTTTTAGTATTTTATAAACGTCAAAACATTTTCAAACTATTAGGAAGTTTTGTTTACAAAAACTTTAAAAGATATTTTTTTTACATTTTTTTATAAACGTCGAAACATGTTTTTAGTAATTTTTAAACGCCAGAAAAATGCTTTTTTTACAAACTCCGAACAATGAAGTCTAGTTCTTGAGTCAGATATATTTATGACGGTCAAACAAACGTTAAAAGTTTATGATTTTTATAATGAATAAAATATATTTTTATAGCCGTCATTACAACGTTTTTAGTATTTTATGAGACATATTTTTTATTTTTGTAAACTTCAAATTTTTTTTAAAGTTTGTTGTAAATGTTGAAATGTTTAAAATTCTAGGAACGTAAAACGTTGTTTTTAGTATTCTAGGGATTTCAAAACATCGTTTTAGTGTTTTTTATAACCGTCAATACATATTTTTTGGTATTTTATAAACGGTAGATTTTTATTTTGTTGTAAACGTCAGAACATCGTTTTTAAAATTATAAGAACCTCATCGTTCTTAGTATTTTCAAAATATTTTTTAATTAATGTAAACGTCAAAATATCGTTTTTAGTTTTGGAATTCTAGGAATGTCATAAATACGTTTTTAGTATTTTTTAAACGTCAGGTTTTCTATAAACGCCAAAACAGAGTTTTAAGAATGGATGAACTCAAACATCGTTTTTATATGTTTTAAACATCTGCAATTTTTTTATTGCTTTTATATAAACGTTAAAAGGTCGTTTAAAAATTCTAGGAACGTCACAATATCGTTTTAGTATTTTATAATAAAAAAATAAAATATTTTTAATTTTTTTATTAACGACAATACCTCGTTTTTAGTTCGTTATAATCGTTAGAAAAATCCATTTTCAAATTTGTTATTATTTTATAAATGTCAGAAATTTGATATATTTTTTTAATTTTTTATAAACGCTAAAACGTTTTAAAATTTTGTAACTGACTGTGGCTTCAGTTTCAAATGACAGTTTCGACTGATCATGTGTAATCTGATTATCTCTTAAAAATTAAATAAACTAATCAAATATCAAAACTAAACAAGATTAACCCAACTGAACATCAAGGAATAATAAAACATTAATAATCTATATCAGAACTAAAATAAAATGTTTAGCGTTGTATTTTGTATAAATAGGTAAATAAAGTGAAGAGGCGAGAGAATATACAAAACAGTTTGTTGGTGTAAACAATTTTTCCAGTACTGTAGAAAAATAATACCAATTTGTATTGTTTTCTCACTGTTCTTGTTAATTTATGCTGTTTTGTAAGTAAACTTGAAAGGTATGTTTCCAGTTCCCCCACCTAATTCACATGAGAACTCAAGAAATTTTATAGTATAAAACAAGAGATTTCCATCTCCTAATATCAAAATTATGTGCAATAATCACACCTAGTTGTTCAACATAAATAGAGAGTAAAATCTAAAAAGAGTACACATTAAAATAAGCACTACCCCTAACATTTCTTACAAGTTAAATTACTAATGCATAACGCAAAACAGGCAAGGTGCTGCCAACCTTTGATCATGATATTTTGGGTAACCTCACCAAAATCCTGGCTTAGATTCGTAAAATTTGTGCGATGATGCATAAAGCGAAATATATCATACAGAAATATGCATTCTTAGATAACACTATTTGCACAGAGATAATAATCGAAAGTAATCTTTTAAATAACCGACATAAGACTGAATAAATAAGACGTTCACTAATTTCTATAAATATCAGCAACATTTAATTACGATTTTTGATATTTGCAGTAGTTTCATTGTTAAATTTCCGTCATGTGTCATTGACTTCTGTTATCTAGAACTATTGCATAATATATCTATTAAGTATTGGATTTTTAACAGAATAAAAATGACAGTACGATTGCTAAATATTTGTCAAATTCAGATTTGGGCAACATGTGTTCAAAAAGTTACGTTACAATAATCACAACTTTGTATTGTATCGTCACAATACAAAGAGTGCTTTATTAGGTAAATAACTGTAGATATAGTATAGTATTTAATTCGATGACTATTAACCACACATGATGATTAACTCTGGCTCACCTTCATGTGAATAATATACTGTTACTAATCTTCACAGAATGGAAAATCTAAAAGTAGCCATGGATGTAAGAGATAGAAGAACATCTATGTAGAGCAGATTTTATAAAACGGAGGAACATCGTAAATATTAACGTTTAAAAGATTGGGACTGATCAATCCATAAATAAAGATCTAGAAATAGTTGTGCAGCTTAACCCCAACAGGGGTGTACAGCAACTAACAGAAACCATAATTACCAAACGTCTATCTACAATTAACCAAACAATGTACGAATACAAACGAGGTAAAATACAACCTAAGATCAAAAAATTGTTCTGGTTCATCAAAATGCTGGGCTAAGTTATTCCTAAACCATTTTTTAAACCTTTGTTTTTTTTTTAAATGTTGTTGTAAATATCAATATCAAATTTAGATTTTTATAAACCTTTTTATTTTATAAACGTCAAAAAAATCATTTTTAAATTTTGTTATAAACGTCAAAATATCTTTTATAGAATTCTAAGAAAGATAAAACATGGTTTTTTCGTTTTTAAAAATTTATGAACGTCAAACGTCATTTTTAGTATTTTATAAACGTCAGAATTTTTTACATTTTTTTGCCAAAGCGCCAAAAAGTTGTTTTATGATCGTCAAACGCGTTTTTTAGTATTTTATAAACGTCTAAAAATTCTAATAAATTTTTTACGTCGTTTTTACAATTCTAGGATAGTCGTTACATCGATTTAGTATTTTATAAACAAATAATTTTTTAGAAGTATTCTTTCTTTTAATTTTGTTGCAAACGTCAAAACGGTTTTAAAATTTTTCTCATCGTTTTTAGTATTTAAAAACGTCAATAAAATCAATTTTTACATTTTGTTGTAAACGTCAAAATATTTTAGAATTTGGAAAGGCCAAAAATTGTTTTTAATACATTTTAAAAATCAGAAAACTCCTTTTTTTGATAAGCCGAAACGTTTTAAAAATGTTTGAATGTCAACGTCATTTTTAGTATTTTATGAACGTCGTTTTTCACTTTTATAAGTGACAAAACATAGTTTTAAAATTTTATTAAAGCCATGAATCGTTTTTTAGTATTTTATAAACATCCGAAAAATACTTATAATTGTTTTATATAAACGTCAAAATGTCGTTATTAGAATTCTAGGAACGTCAAAACGTCGTTTTAGTATTTTATAAACAACGAATTCCTTTCTTTTAATATTGTTGCAAACATTAAAACGTTTTTGGAATTTTTTGAACCTCATCGGTTTTACTATTTTATAAATGTCAACAAAATCAATTTTTACATTTGGTAATAAACGTCAAAATAGCTTTTTTTAAAAAATGTATGAATGTCAACGTCATTTTTAGTATTTTATAGACGTTAGAATTTTTTACTTTTATAAGCGCAAAACATCGTTTTAAATATTTATTAAGGTTAAAAATCGTTTTTAGTATTTTATAAACGTCGAAAAAAATCAATTTTTAAATTTTGTTAAAATCGGTTTAAAATTTAGTAGCGTCAAAATATTGTTTTTAGTATCTTTTAAACGTCAAAAAATCTTTTTTTAAATACTCTGAAACTTTTTAAAAATGTATGAATATCAAACGTAATTTTTAATTTTTTTACATTTTTTATAAACGACAAAAGTTTTAAAATTTTATGAAAGTCAAACGTCATTTTTTGGTATTTGACGTCTGCTGTTATGATGGGTATGAGGTATTAATGCACTGCAACCTATAAGATCTTTTGTGTCCCTTTTCAATATTTTTTTTTTACAAATGTCCAAACGTTTTTAGAATTTTAGGAACGTAAAAACATTGTTTCAGTATTTTAAAATAAAAAAATATTTTATTTTTTTTGTATAAACGTCAATACATCGTTTTTAGTGTTTTATAAAAATAAAATCCTTTAAGTTATGTTGTAATCGTCAAAACATCGTTTTTAGTATTTTATAAAAATTTTTAAATTTAAAGTTGATAATGGAGAACCACTCTTAACAAGTTGATTGACCAAATTTGATTTGAAATTGTAAATGAACAAAAAATCGAAACAATTTATATAATTGGAACTATGACAGAACTCAATGACTCAAATTTTATTTAATACGAAGATATTATTTTGAAAGATATGCAACAAATCGCCTTTACCAAAACACATGACAATAATATCCAGGACAAAAAACATCAAATATTAGTTCTTAAAGATTAAAACTATCTATGGCAAATAGTAAACACATAGTGCAACAGTATTAGAAAAGGCTAAGAATGGCTAAAAAAGTAGATATATGGCATGCAGACAAAGTGAAAGTAACATAGATGACTTTTATATGGTAGTTAATAATTGGAAAAGAAAAACTATTAAAAAATTAATTGTTTTCTATTTAATTCCGTTTGGTTTTTAAATTTTGATTAAATTCAGTTTTTGTATCCTGCCCACACGATCTAAAATTGCATCATGTGACCAAATGTCAACCCGCAGACACTAACATTTTTAATACCGTGCCGACCGGTGGGCACGTATGCCCTTTGCTTAGAATTACATCGTGTGTCCAAAAATCCACCCGTGTATACAGACTTTATTTTTATTTTTCGTGTCCAGCGGTGGACACGTGTGCCCTATGCTTAAAATTACATCATGTAACCAAATATCCACCCGTAGGCACAGGTTTTATTTTAAATTTGTTCCAATTTTTGGATCAATGATGTCTAGAAATTGAAAAGAGGTTATAAGCTTTTCCGATTTATATACTTAATTTTTTTTTAAATAAATAATACATGCAGAACTGTTCAATTTTTAATTTTAAATGATTTTTTTGTTTTCAAACTGTATTTGATTTTTTTTGTTCCTCCAATTATTAACTAGAACTTACTAAAATCTAAAAAGTATTTCTATTTTTGTCTCCCATAATTAGACATCTATATTTTTTTATGAATTTTGATATATCATACGATTTTCAATTTGAAAAAGAATGTACCGAATTGTTCTAATATAAATTTGTTGTTTGTTTAATTTTCGAATTTAATAAATTCTACCTTGGTTATTTTTTTAGGGTCTGTTGTACCGGTTTCCAAAATTTCTACTTTCTGATAGGTATTGGGCGAATTCAACCACCTGCTTCTGTCCGTTCCTTTTCTTCCACCTTCCAGTTTTTTCCAGAGTCTGAAAAAAATTAATAATATATTATACTACATATTATACTAACATCGTTTTTAGAATTTTATGAACCTCATCATTTTTAGTAATTTATACCCTATTTTTTAATTTTGTTATAAACGAAAAAATGCCGTTTTTATAATTCTAGAAACGTCAAAACATATTAGTATTTTATAATAAAAAAAATATTTAATTTTTTTATAAAATGTCAATACATCGTTTTTAGTATTTTAAAAACGTAATTTTTTTTAAAATTTTTTGTAACCATCAAAACATCGTTTTTAGTATTTCATAAATATAAAAAAATATTTTTTAAATTTTGTTATAAACGTCAATACACCGTTTTTAGTATTTTATAAACCCTGTCATTTTAAGTATTTTATAAACATTAAAATAAAATATTAAATTTTATTATAAACGTAAAAATATAGTTTTTATAATTCTGGGAACGTCCAAACATCATTTTAGTATTTTATAATAAACATATTTAATTTTTTACAAACGTCAATACATCGTTTTTAGTATTTTATGAACCTCTGCGTCTTTAGTATTTTATAAACGTCAAAATATCGTTTTTAGAAGTCTAGAAGGTTAGATTTTTTCCAACAAAAGTTTTAAATTTGTAGGAACGTCAAATCTTTGTTTTTAGAATTCTTGGAATGTCAAAACATCGTTTTAGATTTTGATTAAAAAAATATTTTTTTAACCGTGATATGTCGTTTTTACTATTTTATAAATGGTAGATTTTTAATTTTGTTGTAAATGTCAAAACATCGTTTTTAGTATTCCATAAACGTCAGAATTTTTTTTTGATTTTGTAATAAAATATTTAAATATCATTTTAGTTTTGGAATTCTAGGAACGTCATAATTACGTTTTTAGTATTTTTTAAACGTAGTCTTTCTTTACAAACGTCAAAACAGAGTTTTAATAATGTATGAACGTCAAACATCGTTTATAAAAGTAGTTTTATTTTTGTTGTAAATGTCAAAACGGCGTTTTAAGAATTTTATAAACCTCATCGTTTTTAGTATGTTATAAGGGTAATTTTTTAAATTTAGATATAGACGTCAAAATATAATTTTTATAAATCTAGAAACCTCAAAAACATCGTTTTAGTATTTTATAGTCCAAAAATATTTGATTTTTTATAAACGTCAAAACATTATTTTTATAATTTTATGAACCTCATCGTTTTTAGTATTTTATAGAGATCAAAAAAAAATCATTTTTAAAATTTTGATATAATTTAAAATATCGTTTTTATAATTCTAGGATCGCCAAAACATCGTTTTAGTACTTTATAATCATAAACATCGATATAACGTTTTTACTATTTTATAAACGCAGAAAAATTATTTTTTAAAATTTTGTTGTAAACATCAAAACATCCGTTTTTAGAATTTTATGAACCTCGTCGTTTTTGTTATAAAGATCAAACAATTTTTTTTTAAATTTTGTTAAACGTTACATCGTTTTTAGTATGTTATAAACGTCAAATTTTTTTTTTTATTTTATTATAAATGTAAAAACGTCGTTCTTGGAATTTTTTGAACCTCATCGTTATAAGGGTCAAAAAATATTTTTTTAAATATTTTTATAAACGTAAAAATATCGTTTTTATAATTTAATTTTTTATAAACGTCTATACATCGGTTTTTAATATTATATAAAAAATTCTTTATTTCATTTTGTTGTAAACGTCAAAATATCGTCTTTACAATATTATGAATCAAATCGTTTGTTATAAATGACCAAAAAAATAATTTTCAAATTTTGTTATAAACGTTAAAAATCGTTTTTATAATTGTGGGAACGTCAAAACATTGTTTTATAATTCTATTATTTTTTTAGTATTTATAGGGGTCAAAAAATTTATTTTTTATTTTTTTATAAACGTAAAAATATCGTTTTTATAATTTTATTTTTTTTTATAAACGATAAAATATCGTTTTTATATTTCTAGGGACGTCAAAACATCGTTTTAGTATTTTATAATCAAGAAATATTTTATTTTTTTTATAAACCTCAATACATTGTTTTATTATATAAATGCAGAAAAATTTAAATTTTGTTGCAAACGTCAAAATATCGTTTTTATAATTCTAGAAACGTTAAAACATCGTTTTATTATTTTATAATTTTTTTTATACACGTTAATACATCGTTTTTGTACTTTATAAACGAAGATTTTTTAATTCAGTTACAAACTTCAAAACATCGTTTTTATAATTCTGTGAACTTCATCGTTTTTAGTTATAAAGGTAAAAAAACAATTTTTTCATTTTATTATAAACGTCAAAATATCGTTTTTAGAATTTAGTGTTTTTTCAAAGATTTTTGTAAGTTGTTATTAAAGAAATTTGTCTATAATTATTAATAAGATCTTTTGAACTTTTTTATGTAAGAGACAAAAGCTGTTTTGTAAATGTTTTAGACATTTACTAGATCTATAAATTTTGTTAAGTTTAAAAGTAATAGCGCTATTTTGTCAGCTAGAATTTGAATTGTTACAGACGTTACGTCATCGTTATATCAGCCCATTACACAAAATATAAATATACTATTTACAAAATTATACTCACCCTTGTCTGTATAACTCTTCTTCTTCCAACAAATATCCCAAAGACGATACAGCCGGCGGCACTTCAACGTCGTTCTTCGGCTTTGGCGGTTCACCCTTAACCAACGGATGTCTATAAATGTAACCGGTCCGGAAACCGGCGTTGTCCAACATTCTCATCAACGCTTCGAATTCGATACCGCCTACTCTCCATTTCCTTTCCACTTTACTTTCCAGGATGGAAGGTTGATCCGGTCGCGGCGTACTTTCCGGAGCTCTATGAGCTGCATCGTATATCGTTTTTCTGACTTCGTCGTTTATCACAACTAAGGAAAATTTAATGAGTAAAGTAAGAGCAGATTTCATAACGGGGCAATTAGGTTCACAAGATTTTATGGACTCATATACGACAAATATACGTTGTAGTATGTTAAAAAGTGCAGATTATATACCACTGGAATCAACTAAGTAAAACTATATCAAATACAAGTTACTATGCAACCTTTTTCCTTTTAGCAGACAGTCTTAAAAAAGAGGTTATGGGTTATTGACAAAGTGCAAGAATGTGAAAGAACAGTCTTAAAAATGATAAATCCAGGCTATTTTTAGAACGAAAAGTGTCAGGCAGTTGTTGATTGAAATTTATAATGTTATCCAGTTGAACATATTAAAAAAAACTATACTATAACGTTTTTCACTAACATTTTTTTGTTCCTTTATTGCACGCTACTTGTCGAATGCCACCGTTGTCAAAAATCATAACAAACAAAAATTTTAAGATTTGCACTACAATGTACATCTTGTGGTCGCTGGTGCTATTAGTTTACCAGTTACTTACTTAAATTATCAGTGCCCAGCGGCATAAGTTTAAGCTGGATTTCCGAAGCTAAGACAGTGTTCCTGGCGTTATAGAAAGCTTCTTCAATGGTTTCACCGCAACATAATGCTCCTTGGTTAGTAAGCAAAAGAATTTTGTTAATGGGTCCCAGATTGCGTGCTAGTTTGTCCTTCTCTTCAGCATCCAAATGTCCGCCTAGATACAAGTGGGCACTTACTTCTCCTAAAATAATAAAAATATTACTTTCAAACAAATTATTGATTGTTTTTTCGATTTTACCTATGACAACAGATTCCTGACTCAAAGGCAACAGTCCTTGTTTGAGTGACGAAACGGCAATGACAGCCGGGGTGTGAACGTGTATGATACATTTAATATCTGGTCGAGCGGAATGTACGGCAGCATGTAGAGAAAATGCTGTTATGTTAACAGAAAAATTTGTTGTGCCTTGTTCTATAACTCCACCTTGCATATCAACTTTTATCAGACTCGAGGCAGTGACTTCATGGAAAAGCATTCCATATGGGTTAACCAAAAATTGTTCGTCATCTTGATTTAACCTAAAAAAACAAACCGTATATCCAGATGTTCGACTCTAAATCCTTTTGAGTATATTACCTGGCAGTTATGAGTGTACTTGAGCCATACGCCCATCCATACAAGTCAATAAGTCTGTATAAACAACCGAGTTTGCACCTGAGAATTTTTTCACCCTTTGCATATCCCATCGCTTCGATTCCTCTAATATCATTGACGGGTATAACGCAATTCGAACTCTTGAAGACGTTGCCGCCTTGTTTGCTGACTCCTACCATGTCGGAAATTTGTTGCAGAAGCCCGCTGGGACCGGAACCTTCTTTCAGTTGCGACTCGATGATTCTTTCTAGTTCTTCTCTAAATAGTTTGCTGTTCATAATCATTTCGACTCGTTTTCTACGTTCCATTTCCCTTACGTCCGCGTCTATGTCGACCGGTCGCATTTTCGCTCTTTCCTCTTCGTCTATGTCTGACACCCCGTTGGTTTGAGGGGGTTGCTCGGCTTGGCTCGTATCCATCTCCTCTTTTTAATATCTATTGTCTGAAATAATGTTTGTTTAGAAATACGTCTATTTAGACACTATTTATTAAAATATATATAAATATATAGTGTATATGTAAGTCGGCACCGGAAACTTTTTTATTATTAGTTTTATGCAAAAAAGTTATTCTTCATAAAACGTTCTGTATGATGTAAAATGCAATATACAACCATCACATATCAATTTTTTTTAATAATATACGAGGTTTGTCAAAAAATATAAATTCTATGCAAGAGAAAATACCTTAATTTTTAATTGTTATGCGAAAAGTTCTTCAGAATTGAAAACAACATAAAGGCTACAATATAAAATTATTTTCACTTATACGGGGTGTTCCAAAAAAGCGCTAAGCATCAGAGTTATTACACATTAATTTTTTTTTTTTCAATTTTGATATGGGTTTCTTCTACCCAAGTTTTATCGTTTTTTTTTCTCTCGAAATTGTAAAATGTTTGCGAAATTGACATAACTGACAAACTAATTAAAATTTTAAATTTTTGTTTTTTAGACCAAATCTGGTATGTGTTGAGCTACTTATTTCTAGATATGTAACAATGTTTCCATTGATGAGCTTTATTTGTTGTTTTAAAAGTCTATAACTTTATTTTAACGATATATATTTTTAGGTCCAAAAAAGTTTTCAATTTCTTTTATTTTAGAATTGTAGTGTTTCCCTGTTGATAAGTTTCCGTCATATTTTGGGTAGACTATTTTAGTAATATGTGTATTTATATAATATGTGTCTGATGTATTTTTCTTTCATTTTTAATGTTTTTGTACTCTTATGTATATTTTTATCTTTAATTTCTCATATATCTGTTAATTTTTAATAAAAATAAAATAAAACTGGCTGAATCTTGAAATGAAAATTCAGTTTAACACATTATCGAAGAAATACGATGGGCTCAGTAGATAGACAAAGCTGACATGGGCTCACATAGGGAATTCAATGTGTAAGAGTGAGAGGTACAAATTCAGTAGGTAAGAGTGAGACAGAGTGAGAGGAAGCGGGGGGGTGGGGGGAATTAAATCTCTTTTAACGTTGAACAGAAAAATCATGCGATTGCCAGATGGGCCTTAGCGTGTATCTTTATTGTTATTGGTCCGATTCAAACGGAAAAAACGGCCTTATGTAGAGAACGCGGTATAGATTAACGTTGAAGAGAAAAATCATGCGCAAAATGAAAACCCAGAAGGGCCATAGCGTGTATCTTTATTGCTATTGGTCCGATTCAAACGGAATTATGTAGAGAACGCGTTATAGATTAACATTAAAGAGAAAAATCATGCGCAAAACGAAAACCCAGAAGGGCCTTAGCGTGTATCTTTATTGCTATTGTTCCGATTCAAACGGGAAAACGGCATTATGTAGAGATTAATATTATTATTAGATTAATATTCAGGCTCTGGTATGTCACTCAAATCGATCGGTGGTGGTGGTGGTGGAGTTGCTAGTCTGCCAATTTTTTAGTTCTCCTTCAGTCGCATCATTAAAAATTAATTTTAATTTGTATCTCTTTGCTTCATCGATTGCTATGGAAAACGTATCGCCATCTGTTGTAAGTCACTCGGCACGTTTGTATACAGCACGTTGTTTAATATAGCCGTAAGTATAATGAAATTAACCTTTAAAAAGGCCATATTTGCGTCGGTTGGATTCTTCTAAGTGGATACTGATTAGGATGATATCTCTCAAAGACTTTATCCCAAATATTTAAATTTGTCAAATCTCTTAAAACTTGTTTTTTATCTTCATATAATTTTATGTCTCTATTTAGTTCTCTAACTTTTATACCAAACTCTTCAATTCTACGTCTATTATCTTCGCTAGACATCTCAATACCGACTATTCGGAGGATGGACTTAACGTTAGACTGCTCGACCAACTAACTACTACAGTTTAGTTGAAGTACGAAACGTTAAACAAAAACGTCAAACGAAACGTCGATTTTTCTCTTCAACCTTCATCTATACCACTTTCTCTACATAATGCCGTTTTTCCTGTTTGAATCGGACCAGTAATATCCGAGAAACACACTAAGGCCTTTCTGGCTTTCGTTTTGCGCATGATTTTTCTCTTCAACGTTAATCTATACCGCGTTCTCTACATACTGCCGTTTTACCCGTTTGAATCGGACCAATAATAACAGAGACACACGCGAAGGCCCTTCTGGCAATCGCATGATTTTTCTGTTCAACGTTAAAAGAGATTTAATTCCCCCCACTCCCCCGCTTTCCCTCACTCTTACCTACTGAATTTGTACCTCTCACTCTTACCCAATGTGTTCTGTTCCTGTACATTTATATATTTTGTTTTCTATTATTTTTATATACATATATATTTCTTTTTATTTGGGCATATATTATTTATATTTTGTTTATGACCGCTTTGCGTTTGTTAATATTAATATTTCATAATTTTTATATTTAATTACGATAAAGGTTTACTTGATTCATATTTCTCCATTTCCCCCTATTCCAATAGTCAACCGTCCTAATTCTATACTTTAGACCCTTTTTTTTGTCCTTCACCGATTTGGAAGTCTGTCGAACTGCGACACAGAACGAAAACGAACGCCATCGTGTTAAAATTGTAGACGTAGACTATACAGTTTAAAATTGATACTAACCGGCAAAATGTTGTGAACCTGTTAATACGGCTTTTATTTACCTCGCATTGCGCGTCTTCAAGGAAAGTTTCATCCCCAGGACATAAGGAAGACGATTGCCCTTCCCTCTTATCCGGTAAGTTTGAGTAAACCTTTAATTTTTTCATTTTTTGTTATTATTTAAAATAATTAAATCAATACTAAAAGGTGAAAAATTAAATTTATGAACTCAGCGCCTCTATCATTACAGTCCGGAACTACTAAGAAAATAATTATATAATTTTGGATATATAATATTCATTCAATTTTAGGATAACCTTTTCAGAAGCTAATTTCGAATCACAATGAATTCCCTATGTAAGCCCATGTCAGCTTTGTCTATCTACTCGTCTCCAACAATAGTGTATTTTTTTTAAAAATACATTTCCTCGTAATGTAAAACAAACGAAAAACGATTTGATTTCGTACGAAAGACGATGAGAAGTATAGAGACATTGAATTTTTGGGTTTGTGAAGCATTGCAGTTACTGAGGGTTAACAACATTGTAACGTACAAATAGTCCTAAATGTTACATAGCTCCGGCAACTATTTTATTGTGGGTGAGCAGGATGGTGAGTTGCCTCTGGCAAAGGTATTTTATTAGCTTTAAGGCGTTTTATTGTTTAACAAATTTACCATTTTGGACTGAATATGACTATACGTCATCCTTCTAGGCCCCACGTTGGGCGCCAAATATTTATGTAACGTACAAAGAGTCCTAGATGTTACATAGCACCGGCATCTCTTTTGTTGTGGGTGAGCAGGATCGTGAGTCAGATGAAACACTATCAATTCGTTTTATCGACTAATGATCTTCACAATTGGTACCTATTTTTGGTTTCTGAGTTTTTATTGATTTTATTTAAAAATTGTGACATTATAATAACAGAATGTTACAATATAGAGGATCTTCACACTGCTAGCCCTGATTTTTTAAGATACATATTATGTCGCGTATTGAATGGGGTTTACATATTTTTTGAACAATTTATCTAAAAATGTTTGAGCCCTTTAAGCCTTTGTAGAAGCATTTGGTTCTTTTACTACTTAATCTTACCCATATAACACCAATTTGGATCCTTTATGCCCTAGTTCTATCTAAGTAAATACACTTGGCATCTTTACACTTTACACCTATCCATGCTAAAATATTTGTTTTTTATATGAAAAAAAAAAAAAGTAAATATAATAAAAATCTTCCAAAAATATGATCTTACTAAATAGGACATATTCATCGTCAAATATACAATATCAAAGATGTTTTCAATATTATATCGTGATGTAAATATAATATAAAAGAAAATTACAAAGAATACAAAAACAAATACCCAAAAAAAATCATTAATAATTAAATAAATTTATGAGTAGCATCAAAAAAAAATATGTTTTGATAGATATAAAATTTTAAAGAATACTATCATGTCACCGTTTAATATATACCATTTTATTTTACCCTTTAATGCACCTACAGGCACGTTTTTAAGTTCAGTATAAAATACGTAAGCTTTCAAACAACAGTCTTGTGGAATTAATAAAAAAATTAATTCTTAATATATTTCTTAATATTTACCCGCCACTGATTTTTCTTTGTGATTCAATTATCTTACATTCTTTCGGTTAGCCTCCTACGGTCAAATGATAAGAAAAGGTATGATTAATTTTGTTTACGGTTTGGCTTTCAAAACTATCAAAACAATTTTTTGTTATAAAGGATAGTCTAAATAAAAATGAAGCAATTATTGGTTTTAGTTAAAAATTGGAAGCAAATCGTGTTTATTTTTTAATGAAAACAAATAATTTTGTGATTGGGATTAGATTATACATAAATAATGAAATTATATAAATTTTAAATCACAAAATGAGATCAACAGTATTTTAAAATTGCAAAAAAAAAACAAATGAAAAAATATGATGTCTAAATTTTAAACAACAAAACGTTTTATTATAACATTTATAACTGTAATTAAAAAGAAAAAAATTCAAAACAAACAGATTTTAACATTATTTTGTTAATATTGATATTGGTATTCATCTGATGCATCTGTTGAATTATTAATATCAATAATGTTATTCCTATTAGTGAATACCTTCAGAATCTTCGGATATGACTGGTTCCCTCGAGTTTCCTTGCCCAGTTAAAGTTGTTTTTTTTGTCTATATTTTGATTCATACACTTAAACAGCAAAAACAAAACAAATCGTGGCTAAGCTGGGAATCCCAAAGTTGGCGCGGCGATGCTTGCGTGACAGACAAATAAATTGTTACAGTTATTATACTTTTTTACAGGGGTGTATTGAGATATTTTCGAATGTTTAGAAAGCTGGAAAACATTTTTAAGAGTTTTTGTTAGATGGTAACATTTCAAATTAAAGATGGGCGACTCCGGCGAATTAAGTAACTGCGATTTATTTAAGAAACTTTTGGATGTTATTCAGTCAGAAAATAACAAATTGTCTCAGCAAATAAAAGAGGAAAACAAAAATATTATTGATCGGTTGGATGAAAACACAAATAAATTAAAAAATCTTGAAATTAAACAACAAGCCGTAGAAACCAGATGCATAACTTTGGAAAGACTGTCTAGGCGTAATAATATTATTATTCACGGTATACAAGTGCCAGAATCTGAAAATCTACTACAATTTATTCTATTAAAGCTAGAAGATTTACTTAAAGTTAAAGTATCACTTACAGATATTGACAACATTTTTAAAATTCCGAGTAAAACAAGTTTTCTTGTCAAAGTTGAATTTACAAACTATCTTATAAAGCAAGAAATACTTCGCAATTGTGTAAAACTCAAAGGAAAAAATATTTTTATTAATCAAGATCTCTGTAAAGAAGATAGGGAAACACAAACATTTCTTCTCAAGCACCTTAAAGCAGCTAGAGGCCAAAAAAAATCTGCTAGAATTAAAAATTGGTCTTTGTTTGTTGATGGAGTGGTATACACCATTAATAATTTAAAGGAACTTGAACAGAACATTCAGGTAAACACTGAAGAACCTGCCACCCCGCAAAACTTAGCACCAGCTCTGGAAACAACAAACAAAAGAGCTAGAACTTCACCAGCTGATCCTGAGCTCGAAAAAATTAAGCTTCACAGGTCCAATTCAGTGTCAAGTGATAAAAGTGACAAACAAACAAGAAGTGGTATAAGTTACTAGTAATTTCTCGTGAAACCAAAGTTATCCCATCTCTATACGCGAATTTTTTTTTTAGTCTAATTATCTATTTATAAGTAAAACAGGTGTTAGCTTTAGTGGAATAAACTAAATTATAAATTACTGTTTATTTAAATTAATGTTTTCATTTTCTATTTGTCATATCAATTCTAGATCTGTGTTGGCTGATTTCTTTGAGTTTAAACGTACTGTTTGTGATATTTACGATATAATTACCGTCTCTGAAACATGGCTTTCACCCCAAATTGATGATGATTTTGTACTTCTACCTGGGTATAAATTATTCCGACGCGATCGGTTGACAAAAAGAGGAGGCGGTGTAGCCATTTATATTAGAAATTGTTTTGCTGGCTCTGTATTATCAAGTTTAAACCGAACTGAGTCTGAACAATTATGGATTTCAGTTATACATAATAATAATAAGTACGCTATTTGCTCAACTTACAGACCTAGCGACTTCTCTTTTGCACAGTTCTCAAACGAACTTGATGAATGTCTTAACTGGGTGGCAACAAGACATAATTCTATTATAATTGCTGGGGATTTAAATATAAATTTTCTAGACCTTAATAATAAATGGTGCACTATGTTTTACTCAGTTATAAACTCATATAATCTAATACAAGTTGTAGACCAACCAACTAGAGGTCCTAATTTACTAGATGTTATTATTTGTTCAGAAATACTTTCTCCTAATGACATAAAAGTTTCCAGTTCTACAGTTTCAGACCATTCAATACCCTCATGTAACGTTGGATACGTTAAAAATAAATTAAAACCTTTTTTACACAAGTATCGCGATTTTAAAAGATTAAACGTAAATGAATTCAATCATGATTTGAATATGTGTGATTTTTCAGAAATCTACACAACAAACGACATTGACAAAAAAATTAAGATTCTAAATAACAATATATTGTATTTATTTCAGAAACATGCCCCTGTACGGCAAATAAAAATAACAAAAAATAAGGCACCTTGGCTTACAGACACAATAAAAATAATGATTAAATATAAAAACAGGGCATTAGAGAGATTCAATAAAACAAAAGTTCCTAATCATTGGGAGTATTACAAAACTCTAAAAAATCAAGTTAATTACGCAATTAAGAGAGAGAAAAAAGCATTCCTGGAATTTAAGTTAAGACAAAAAAGTAACATATGGAAAGAATTAAATAATCTGAACATAACAAAAAATAAAAAATCTACTATTCCCAATGAACTAAAAAATCCTGAAATAATAAATAATTATTTTATTCACGGTATTGGTGGCCTAGATAACCCAGACATACACATTTTAAATCATTATGAGTCTCATGTCCAAGAGAATCTGCAAGATTTTAAGTTTACCGAAGTTAATGAATTAAAAGTATATGAAAAATTACTCTCCATTAAATCCCATGCTACTGGTCCGGATGAAATAAATATTGTAATGCTGTTACATACTTGCCCTACAATTCTACCCTACGTGACACATATAGTCAATCATTGTATCAATAATTCCACCTTCCCATCCTTATGGAAACAATCAAAAGTATTGCCGCTTCCCAAAAAACAGAACCCAACTGAATATTCTGATCTGAGGCCAATTAGTATACTTTGTACTCTGTCAAAGGCTTTTGAGAAAATTTTAGACGAACAAATTCGCTTTCATATTTCACAATTTGATCTTCTACCTAAACATCAATCGGGCTTCCGTCCAAAATACAGTTGCACTACAGCGTTACTTAAAGTATTAGACGATATTTACTCGTATATAGATGCTAAAAAATTATGTATACTAATTCTCTTAGATTACTCAAAAGCTTTTGACAAAATAAATCACTCTTTACTGTTAGCTTTATGTCATTTTATGGGATTTAACACAGCCTCAGTAAATTTATTGAGCTCTTACCTAAATGGAAGATATCAAAGAGTTCAAATAGAAGAAAAAACATCCAATTTAATACATATTACACGTGGAGTACCGCAGGGATCTATTTTAGGTCCTCTCTTATTTTCAATTTATACCTCTCAATTTTTTAAATATCTGAAACACATGAATTCTCATTTCTACGCTGATGACACTCAACTCTACCTTGACTTTAAAGAATCCGAATCGAATGGCGCTATCACAAAAATCAACGAAGATCTGCAAACTATCTCGGAGATATCTAACAAATTTTGCTTAACAATTAACGCTACAAAATCCAAAGCTATGCTTTTCGGCCGTAAACAAGTTAAAAATAGAATTAAAAATATTCTAAGGGTAAGTATTAACAATGAATTTTTAACATTCTCAGTTTGTGAGAAAAATCTGGGCATATACATTGATGAAGATTTATCCTTTGCGCAACATATCTCTTCTATAATAAAAAAATCTTTCTGTAATCTAAAGTTAATTTATTCTAATCGGGAATTTCTCAAC